TTACTTAAACCTAAGTAAGATTTGAGGTTTTTACGGTTGTGAGTTTCTGAATACCGCTGTCTTCCGCAGGTCATTGCTGCCTCAATCATCACTTTTCTCCCTGATGATGGTAGCAGCAAGGACCTCCGAAACGTCGGTAAAATTCTACACGGCTCTACAACCCAGAAGACAGCCATTTTCAGACTTAAACTTTTCCTTCTTCAAAACGCTGGAATCTTTTACAGGTTCTTCTCGATTGTTTTTTTGTATTTGTATTGAACACGTAATATGGAATTAAGTGAACTGTCTTAATTGTTTTAAATGAATGTATCCTAGTTTTGTTTTGTTATTCAGTTGTGTCGCTATTTTTAACTTAGAACGGAGTGAAATTGTTATAATTCGTATTAATTAGAATTCCATTGCCGGTTGCTTAATGTCGCAGGTTAGATTTAGTTTTGCAGAGGAGTTATCGATATTCTGCTGATTATCGGAATTTGTACGAGTGTCTGAATGTTATTATGTGGACGTTTGCCACAACAGAAACTCTGTGTTCTGTTTGTTACGCCTACAAGTTACAAAACGTAAACCCAAATTCATTAAAATGAAACACGTTTTTGTGATGTATTTACGAGTTTATTCTTTGACGGATATGAGAGTGGGTGGTCCATGCAGCAGCGCCTCTGTAATCACTGAACTGTATTATATTAATACGTGAATGGACTCGCAAATGAATTCGTCCGCACGAACATTGGAATTGCTAGTCACAAACTGCTATAAATAATCCGCGTAGTTTCCTTCTTTTTTTGTCATTTTGTTTAATATATTAAATTAATAACTACAGCTCATTGATATGCTATTTTGAATTTTGTTAATTAATGTATGATGCTGTTTTTTTTCTGACGTGAAACATGGTTAAATATACGAAGGGGAGAGAGAGAGAGAGGAATAACTAAAGAAGGATGAGGTATATAAAGAGTGAAGAAAGAAAGAAGAAGACGGGGAGAATGAAGGGATAAATAAATAATATTGGAGACACAAAAATTAATGGGAATTACAATGCAAAATGGGATTTATAAATCGAAAGATGAGTGAAAAATATTGACAATTATCAACCATAATTGAGTTTTAAGTTCTTAGATATATTTTACACCTGATGATGGTTTTATAAAAACTGAAACATGTTGTGTAAATGTTCCGAAATGTAAATCGATCAATCGATATGGAACATCAATGATATTTTATTATCTTAATTATAAGAAATTTTAAAATATTGTGATAAGACGGATAAAATAAATAATTGTTATAATATTCACAATATGACGCAATTACAATATTTTATGAAAAATATTGAATTAAGATGAACACAGACAAGTGAAGGAACTGAGAAAGAATGTAAGAATAAGAGACAAAAGGATTTGATAGAGATGGGGGAAAAAATACTTTTTTAATGAGTGAGGAAATT